TTTTTTTTTCAGAAAATAGTAGGCCTGTCCCCAGGTCCCCAGTTCTTCTACCCAGAGGTACTAATTGTTACCTACCACACACACACACACACACACACACACACGTGCACACACATACACACACGTACAGTCTGTTTCCTAATGTATACAAGATGGGAGTATATCAGACACACTTCTGTTGTGCTTTAAAACAATCTGAATATGCATTGTAGATTGCTCCAGACCAGTATATAAAGAGCTAGTTCCTCATTTCAATGGCTGCCTGGTAGTTCGGGGTCTGGCCGTGGTATATCAGTGAACAGCCCCCTAGTAGTGGATGTGTAGGTGGTCTCCGATCCTTTGCTATGGCGCTGTAATGAATACCGTTGTCCAAATATCTTTACTTACATGTGCGAGTGCATCCTTGGGATCAGTTTTGGGAAATGACATTCCTACTCTCTCTGAACCTCACACCACCCATCACTTCATTTTATAGATGAGAAAATGGACATTCGGAAAGCAAAACGCTCAGTCCAAACGGAAATAGGTTTTGAACCTGTGAAGTTTATTCACATGGCGTGGGTTCTGAGGAGATGAAGAGCCCCGTCAGGGTGGTTCCCCTCACTTGTGTTCACCTCTGTCCAGAAGGGAGTGCTCTGTGGCCGCGAGGGAGGCCGCTTGGAGCCGGGCTCTAGAGGAGGCCTCTGGAGGGGTGGGCAGCGCAGGGGCCGGTGGGGACAGCGGGGGCGCCTGGCCCAGGGAAGCGGCGGCTCACTAGCTTGAGTTCCCAAAGTTGGCTCAGTAGAGGCGGTGGCGGCGGAGGGCTCAGGCAGGACAGTGAAGTAAAATCTGGGGCCCCAAGCCTAGAACAGCCACACAGAACCCCACGGGTCCAGAGACGTCGGCTGGGGCCACGACCAAGACTGCTCCCAGCCCAGACCTGCCCTGGGACCCCACACTAAGCCTCTGCTGCCCTCCCAACCGCCACCCCCTATGTCCACGTCAGAACCCCAACAGGGTTCCCGCGCCGTGCCTCCGACACGGCCAGGACTTGCTCCACCAGGCCTGCACAGACACTGAGTGAGTGTCATCCTCCAGTCGCTGGACGGCCACCAGCAGGTGCACCAGCATTGTATGGCCCCTTCCCCTGTGAGGCCACTGCTCCTCTCCTGGTCTGTCTTTTCCAACAGCTACATCAGCCTTAGAGTTGGAGGGAGGGGCTGAGGCAGTCACAGTGGATCTGGGGTCCTTGGGAGGTGGGGTGGATGCCCCTCCCCACCAACTGGTCACGGAAGCCCTGCATTGTGTCACAGCTGGTGTGTGATGGCCCAGGGACAGCCTGGATCTGAGTTCCAGTTTAGGGCGAGTATGTGAAATGTTCGTGTGTGGGGATCTTTCCAAGGGCGTCCGGGTGTTTCAGTGTGTGTGTGCCCATGTGTAGGGGGTACATCTGTTAGCACATGGTCAGGCTAGAAGTGGCCAGGGCGAAGTCCCCCGTCAGTGCCTCCACCCTCAGAGCAGGCTGCAAGGAGACCAGAAACTTGCGGGCTCTTCTTCTGTTTTGCCTCTGCTGTGTGGAAGGATGTTGGCTAAGCTGCCTGCTCAGGCCTATTTCCCTACGTGTGGACAGGGCCCTGTTCAGGTGAGGCCAGGGCCTGCCCACCCGAGGGTCCTGTGCAGCCTCTCCCACAAACTGCTTTGCTGTGGGAGGGACCACTGGACTTCAGTGTCTCCTTTCTGGGCCTCGGTTTCCTCAGCTTGGAAGTGGAGGCTGCTGGGAGAGTCATGTGAGTGTCTGTGCAGAGCTGGGGTGCAAGGCCAGCAGCTTGAGTGTGGTTGGTGGGCCACAGCAGCTGTCGGCATCCTGGGCCTGTGACTTACCCTCTGACTGGAATGGATCTCGTTGGCACCAACGTCTTCTGCAGGGGCAGCTGATCCCTCAGTGAGGTGGTCATCTTCGTGACCTCCCAGGGCTTCAGGAACTCTGCAGTAGGTTCTGTCAGCCAAGAGAACCTGCAATGGGCACTTGGCATCTTTAGTGAGCCTGCAGCCACCAGCCATATGAATAGTTCTCGCTCGTCTGGAACTTTCTACTTGCCAGGCATCATTCTAAATGCTTTATCAACATTAACCCGTATGTCAACTCACAACCATTTATAGATGAGGAAATTAAGGCACAGAGAGGTCAAGTGACCTGCCCAAGGTCACACAGCTAGGAAGCCCTCCAAAGTTGCTACATTTTTTTTTTGTCAGGACCTATCAGTGCATTGATGATGGGATCCAGGACAGCCTGGCCACACAGAGTATTTAGTAACTGCCGCTGGCCGAGGCCCCAGTGCTGCCCAGTCTGGGGGTCTCTACTGATTTCCAAGTGCCCTAGGGCTTTACAAACTACACCCCACCCCAGTCTGACCCCATCACACCTTTGGCAGGGGTAGGTGTTCATGAATGTGCTCCTCAGGTGGTTCCCATGAGGCCACTGACTCAGAGGGAAAGAGCTGGCTATGACTCTGGAATGGCCCCAGGGGTCCCGGATACCTATCTAGAGGCCCTCAGCTCTGATTGGGATGGGGGTGGGGCGAAGATGCACCCCAGACTGTCACAGAGCTGCTCAGGGAACTCCCTGTGGATGAGAAACCTCATCCCAGGTCCACGCTATATACCCCTGGAATGCACTTTGGCATGACCTCAGGGGAGGCAGGACTTGGCCCTAGGGGCCTCGGGGTCTAGTACCTGTACGGAAACTTCCTGGCAAATTTTTCCTGGGCCTTGTCTTTACTCTTCTTATACTGGGGGCACTTCTTGGGGTTCTTCGAGTTCATCACGGAAGGAGGTTAAGCTGTGGCACACTTTTCAGCCGTGGCTAGAAGGCAAGAGGAGGCCTGTCAGAGTGGGGAAGGGGATGGGAGCAGCCAGGCTGGACCTGGACCAGACACTCGGCTTCCCCTCGGGACTGCGAAGGGGACAGAGGACAGGGCCCCTGCCTGCCCCCCAGGGCTGAATGAGGGCTGGGTCATGCTGGCCCATCACCCATGCCCGGCCTCACCACACTGTGCCAGTCATACACGCTCTCATGTGTAAGTGTGTGTGTGTCTGTGTGTCTGTGAAATTTTATGTGTACAGCTTTGTGTAACCACCACCTGGGATGGTTCTCAACTGAACAGCCCGTCCCAAGCTCTGGCAACCACGAATCTGTGTTCGTCTCTGTACTGATGTGACTTTACAAGTGTTATACCAATGGAACAACGCAGGAGGTATCTTCTGGAGCCTGGCTTCTTTCTCTCAGCATAATTCCCTCAGGAACCAGCCCAGTTGTGCGTATCAGCAGGTGGCTCTTCTTTCAGTGCTGAGTAGTATTCTATGGGATGGATGTGCCATGCTTTGTTTAATCCTCAACTGTTGCCATGCTTTGTTCAATCTACATCTGGGTAGTTCCTGGTGTGGGGCTATTATGAATAAAGCTGCTATGAATATTCATGTGCAAGTTTGTGCATGAAAACCAGTCTTTGTTTCTCTGGACTATATAACGGTGAATTGCTGTGGCTTATGATAAGTCCATTTTTAGTTTTAAAAGGAGCCGCCAAACGACCTTCCAGAAGAGCCGTACTATTTTCCATGCCCACCAGCAGTACACAAGCGACTGTCTTTTTAAAGCACCTGGTGCAGATGCAGGTAGGTCAGGGCGTAGGTCCTGCCAGAAATGCCAGCAGCCCCGGCTTGTGGCCTGGCCCCTCAGACCCACCAGGAAGTCTTCCCGACCTTCCACATACTTGCCCACCTGGCAAAGAGCTTTGTTCAAAGTGCAGCTCTCTACACCAGTGCTGGCTAGTGGGGGCCTCCATGGCCTCTGACCCTGGACTGTGACTGTTATAAGGACACTGGGGTCCCTTTCATGGGCCTGGCCCCACAGCCTCCACTATCATGTAAACCCGGGCAGGTCACTATAGACTATAGTCCTCCTCCTGCTGAGAAGCCAGGTGAGGGCCCTGGTCCAGGATGGGCGCCTGTGTCGCAGTGGGAGACACAGGCTCTGGGCTCAGCAAAGTGTCTGCTAAGCTCCATGTGTGACCTCATTTAATGTTCTCCACCTGACAGAGATGACGGTCACCCCCGTTTTCCAGGGAAGGAAACAGGCTCTGAAAGGTTAGGTGCTTTGCCTACATCCCGACCCACATGGTGAGTAGGGGACAAGGTGGGGTCCAGAGTGGCCATCTGAGCTCTACAGCCTCAAACAGTCCCAAACGGGGCTGGGAGATGTGACTATACCAGCCATCGACCTGAGGAAGTGGCACCACTACAGGAACCCAGCGGTCTGGAGGAGGCAGGGGAAGGGACACCCCTCAGGCCCACCCCATACCTACCTGCAGACCCCTTAAGCTGTCAGTGTGACCCTGCAAACTGACACAGCTGAGTCTGCCTCCCTCAGGGGCAGAAGGGCCACTGCAGAGGCCAGGGCAGGACTCTGACACCATGGCCATCTGTCCCGGGCGCCATCTTGCTCCTGCTTCCCTAGCTGATCTGGGACTGTCCTTCCCAGCCACCCAGGCTGCCTCCCTAAATCCTAGTAGTGACCATGATGGGGGCTTGGCTCAGGGTGCCCTGGCAGTGTCAGGAAGACAGCAGGTATGAGAGCTGCTATGCCCCTTGACCCCCCAAGCCTGGTTCCCCCTGGCTACAACACTCTCTTGGTTCAGTGACATAGAGAGGCACAGGCCTGGGTACACAGAGCCTCCAGCCAGAAAGGAGTGGGTGAGTGGACCATCCAAGCTGCAGGCTACTCACAGGCTCACTTATGTGACGCCAGAAGGGCGGAAGCTGGCCATGGCCCTGGCTGCCATGCTGCCACAGGAGCACTGGCCCTGGGGCCCCAGCAGGCCAGGCCCACAGGATCATTGCGACATCAGAAGCCCTTGAAGTCACAATCAGTGACACTGCAGTTGCTGAACCATGTGGCTCAGAAGCTGGCCTGAAGCCCCTCTAGCCCAGAGTGGCTGTAGAGATGGCAGCGAGTAAGCCAGGGCTTGCTGGCATTCCCACGCTCAGCACCCTGGGTGGAGCATCCACCTGAACATATTCCTTAGCAGGGATCTCTCCCATGCAGATTCTGGGAACAGAAGAGATATCCCAGAAATAGCTAAAACCTTACTTTGGTTGCAGAAAAGTTATCCTGGCTGACTCTGACCTGAGCCTTAGCCACAGCCCAGCAATCACGGGGAAAAGGGTTTGAGCCCAGGGGAGTGTGAGAGTTTAGGGCGGGGCCCAAAAGGCCAATTCCCTTTCTCCCAGTCTGGGTCACTACCTTCTGTGTGGCCTCAGGCAAGCAGCTCAGTCTCTCTGTGCCTGTGTCCCAGACTACATATGTGTTTTGAAAAAATCGCTCTGGTGGCAGTGTGGAGAACAAAGTGAACAGGGCCAGGAGTAGGTGTGGGTAGACCAGGTGACCAGCAAAGGCAGTAACACGGATGAGGGGTGGTGGTGCCTTGGAATGAGGTGGTGATGGAGATGGAGGGAAGGGGGTGGATTTGAGAGATTTCAGGTGACCAAGTTAACACAGAGTGGTGACAGAGGCTGTGGGAGGGCCAACAATGACTCTGGGTTTCTTTACTGACACGAGATGGGACTGGACTAGGCCTTGGAGGGAGACCATGGGTTCGGCCTTGGTCAGGTTGAGTTTGAGATGCCTTTGAGGCCTCCCTCCACTTAGACACTTCTACATCTGGGTCTGAGATCCAGAGGGGTGAGACCTGGGCACAAAGTATGTTTGGGTGTCACTGATGTATCAGTGGTAATTGAAGACAATTATCCGAATGGAAGGCGATGTGGAAGAAGTGAAGAGGGCATTGGCCTGAGTGTTAAGATACTCAGTATTTAATGATCAAGTAAATATTTAGTGCCTGTGACCCAGACAGAGGCACGGACAGAGAGGACGAAGTCAGTGGCGTCATGGAAGCCAGGGGATGATTCCAGCTCAAGAGGCATAGACTGGTCAGTGGTGCCAGTGCTGCAGATGGTTGTGAGCAGGTGAGAAGGAAGAAGTAACTTTAGGTTTTAGTGCTGTTTCGTTTTATGCAGAGCTGTTTCTGTGGAGGAACGCATGCCAGACTACAAAGAGTCGAGGAATGAGAAGGTGAAGGAGTTGAACTAGAGGTGCTATGGCGATTTCACCCGAACCATTCTCCATTCTCTGTTCTGCCTTCGTTCTACTAATGTGATGCATTACATTGATTGAGTTTCTTACTAAGAAGCACCCTGGCATTGTGGGCACAAATCCCACCTAGTCACGACACATAATCCTTTTAATATGCTGCCGAATTTACTTTGATAGTATTTTGTCAAGGACTTTGTAATCTATATTCATAAGGGGCATTGACCTGAAGTTTTCTTGTCTTGTAGTGTCTTTTTTTGGCTTTGCTATCAGGGTAATCATGACCTCATAAAATGAGCTTGGAAGCGTTCCCTCCTTTTCAATTTTTTGGGAACTTTGATGAGGACTGGTGTTAATTTTTTGTAAATGTTTGGTAGAATTCACCAGTGAAGCCATCTGGTCCTGGCCTTTTCTTTGCTTGTGTGTGTGTGTGTATGTGTGTGTGTGTGTGTGACTCTTAGGGGTTTGTAATTGCTCTGGATAGAACTTTTAGTACTATGTTGAATACAAGTGGCAAAAGCAGGCATCCTTGCCTTGTTCCTGATCCTAGTGGGAAAATTTTCAGTCTTTTTACCGTTGAGTTGGACATTAAGTGTGGAGTTTTCATATATGGTTTTTATTATGTTGAGGTAGGTTTTTTCTATTACTAGTTTGCTGAGTGTTTTTTTTAATCAGGAAAGTGTGTTGAATTTTGTCAAATGCTTTTTTGACATCAATTGAGATCATCATGTGGGGTTTATTTTCATTTTTCTTTAATGTGGCATATTTGATTGCCTTTCATAAATTGAACCATTCTTGCATTCCAGATATAAATCTCACATGGTCATGGCATATAATCCTCTTAATATGCTGCTGAATTCAGTTTGCTAGTATTTCATTGAAGATTTTTACATCAATATTCATAAGGGATATCAGTCTTAGTTTTCTTTTCTTGTAGTGTCTTCTGGCTTTGTTATCAGGGAAATGCTGGCCTCATAGAATGAGATAGGAAGTGTTTCCCCCTCTTCAATTTTTTGGAAAAGTTTGGAAAGGATTGATATTAGTTCTTTAAATGTTTGGTAGAATTCAGTGAAACCATCTGTTCCAGGGGTTTTCTTTGTTGGGTGGTTTTTGATTACTGAATTAGTTTACTTACTATTTATTTGTCTGTTCAGATTTTCTATTCATGATTCAGTCTTGGTAGGTTGTGTGTTTCTGGGAATCTGCCCATTTCATCCAGGTTATCCAATTTGTTAACATACAGTTGTTCATAGTATTCTCTTATAATCCTTTTAATTCTGTATAATCAGTAGTAATGTTCCCATTTTCATTTAAGATTTTAGTAATTTGGGGGTGCCTGGGTGGCTCAGTTGTTAAGCATCTGCCTTCGGCTTGGGTCATGATCCCAGGGTCCTGGGATCGAGCCCCACATCGGGCTCCCTGCTCCGCGGGAAGACTGCTTCTCCCTCTCCCACTCCCCCTGCTTGTGTTCCCTCTCTAGCTGTCTCTCTCTCTGTGTCAAATAAATAAATAAATCTTTAAAAAAAGGAAAGATTTTAGTAATTTGAATCTTCACTTTTTTTCTTAGTCAATCTAACTAAAGGATTCACAATCTTGTTGATTATTTCAAAAATCGACTTTTGGTTTTGTTGATTTTCTACATAACTTTCTACTCTGTGTTTTATTTATGTTTATTCT